GGCTGCCAAAAAGCACCAAAATTTTTAAAAAATTAATAGAAAGCGTGCCTCGGAGGTTTCTACACTCTCTCTCTCTCTCTCTCTTTTACCGCTTTATTTCAATTATGCAATAGATATAGGGCCATGTAGTCATAATCTTTAAATTCCGCAAATAAAAGGGTAAAAGCGTATTTTTCACCGGTTTAATTATTTAATATAGTTGGCCTATCATAGGGAACCCGAAAGGGGCATCGTAAGGGAACTAATACTTCCCTTAACGTAACTAACTCCCTTACCCAACTCTGGTTCTAATGACCAAAGTTGGTTTTTCGAAAACCAACACCTTTTTTCATTCCTTTTCCGATGTTTCCGGTAAAAACATCGGTGGCGACTCCAGAAGAACCCTTCAAAAGTTAGTTCTTGGGTTAGCCCGGTTATCGGACAATCCAAGAGCGCCTTTTCGAAAACCTCGCCTCTAGGTTCAGCCCGATTATCGGACAACCTAAAGGCGTTGTAACCACACCAATAAAAACGCGAAAAATGGAAAGTCGAAACCATCGCGTCGCTCCGATCGCCTCGTTTTGACGGCAGCGACAGATGGCGACTCCACTGGGGAAGCCTAGAGAGTTGATCCCATTTAGTGATGGGCCAGCTTAAAAATAAATAAACCAAGAAAATTACGCTTTTACCCTACCTTGTATTATAACATGCTTTAATGCTTGGCTTTAATAACTGTTGCTTGTTTATACTTACGCAATTGTTTGAAATACAAACTGTACACAAACCCTTGCACACTACAATTCCCTCTATACCCGGGGGCAAGTGAGAAATCCATAGGGCAGGTGGTAGGTACGGTTCGCTGTAGTGATGGCCTTGTGCCCACCAGTGTGATCGAAAACCACCACTCAAGGTGATAACCTTCCTCTTTTGGCATAAAGACTGACTATGGCCTTAGTGCTAAGCATGGTCGGAAGGCTGGAGAGTGGGGACCCTATAATGGGGGCACCTTGGGGGCCTTAGCCTTGTTGAGAACAGTTAGAACATACCTTCGCCAATGCACTTTTCTGCAGGAAAACCCTACCTCGTGATTAAAACGACTTCTTGCCTGTTCGTGGATGAGTGAATTGTATGTGCATTTTTTTGTTGCATTTGATTGCATAGCATAACCAAACAACAGATAAAAACAAAATTTTACAATAAACACCTTTATCTCGGACAGTCTGCCTTTTACCTAGCCTGGTTTCAGGTTCTTTGTAAGCTAAGTAGCCACGTAGTCCGACAGAAGAGATAAAAAGGCAAAAAAATAAATCCAAAATAAATAAAATAATAATAACAAAATCAAAATGTTTATAAAAATAATTTTGACAAAGTCGTATTATTCATATTGCATCATGTCATAAGTGAAAAAACCAAGAGAGAAAATAAATGCATAAGGAAAGTATGCATATACATCATTTTAATAAATCCCTAAAAAATGGGTCTTAGAAACTCTCAAGGAATAAGGGAGCCACCAGATTTTAA